ACTTTTATTTTTTAAAAAAGTATCCATTAATTGCATATTATAGCACACTGGCTCAATAGCAGAAAGAATGAAAACAAATTGTTATATTAAGGAAGGAAGTTTGAAAACCAATCTTCCCATACTTTCTCCGTTACCCAAACTGCTATTATTATATATTAAACAGATTTCTTGATTTTTTTTGTTCAGCAGGCAAAATTTAATCCAGAAACAGCATCATGATCTCAAAATTACTGTGTTTCAGTTACAGGCAGTCCTTGATTTATGACCACAACTGAGCCCAAAATTTTTGTTGTTAAGGAGACATTTAAGTGAGTTTGGCCCCATTTTACGAGGTTTTTTGCCACAGTTGTAAAGTGAATCACTGCAGTTGATAAATTAGTAATCTGGTTGTTAGGTGAATCTAGCTTGCTTTTTCTGTCCAAGTTCAGTAATTATGTATCCTTCAGAATTTTATGACCATATAGGATTGTCTGCAAAAAAGATACTTTCTTAATTTCAAATTCCTTGTGATATACAATATTAAAATCCAATTCACTGTCCCATCTTTGTTATGATGACCTTGGGCTTGTAAACAAGTGAATTGTACTCTAAACAGAATATTGCAAATTCATTTGAGTCAATCCAAGTGGTGATGAAAATGCATAATGATCAGCTAGACATATCAGGAGGAGTGTGACTCTCAGGAAATTATAATTTTACTAAGACAAAAACAAAAAAAATAAGGATGGATTGATGGATGGAGTATAACCATATTTATTTTATGGTTATTTTCATTTTAAAAAATGCAAGTCAATCTCATCTCTTTTGACTTCATGACAAATTCATATAGTTTTCTTGGCAACAGTGTAGAAGTGGTTTCCATTGCCTTTTTCAAAATGAGATGAATTTCTGGTGATTCTACCCATGTAGTTTTCTTTGCTGTGTCATAGAAAAGGTTTGCCATTGCCTTCAGAAATGTGTTTGTGTTTCCTTGAGCAATCAACAGCCTATAATTTCAGGGTAATGCCCCATCCAAATGCTAATCAAGGCCAACCCTATTCAGTTTCCATCACAAAGGCACTGCCAGCTATTAAATATATAAAGATACCCTGGACTTCTGCTTAACTCTGGTGACTTCATGCAGTTTTAGAGCACAGTTTAGAAGTAATGTACCATTCCATACTTCCAAGGTATTCATTTACTTACTTACTTACTTACTTACTTACTTACTTACTTACTTACTTACTTCATCAAGTCTACAGTCCTGAGATTTTCCGAAGGTCTTATCGAAGTATTAACAAAGCCTGTCCCTGTTTAGCATACAAGCCCAGACATGTTACTACCTGCTAAAATTCAATTCACTTTAAATTACTTTAAATCATTTTAATTTTTGTTTCAACATCAGTCCTTGTTTTGTGTTCTTTTGCGCCTTTACTCCTTTAATTTGGAGATTACCATTCAAAGTTTAAGTAAGCACTCAGGCCAAAAATGTTACTTACTCTTGAGTTAAAGTCAATCATATTACTTGACTCCTATTCAAAATGAAAGATTTAAAATGTATCAGATGATAAGTCTAGCCCATGACATCCATGACTGAAAAAGAAGGGGGATTGTCATTTAAAGATGACAAAAGTTTCAGATTTAGGCTGCGCCACATGATTCATATTATCCAAATATTAAATGATCACAAGACTTTTGATGTAGAAATTACAATTATGTAATAAATATAAAAAATAGCCAAGAAAACAAACACATGACTCCACTGAATAAATCAACCCAAAATTCTCATTCAAGGCACAAATTACCAGGCTCAAATTATCCTATTTAGGAGAAAGTTACCTACTAATGGTAATTGGGATCTGGAATTCTGTTACTAATGATGTTGTAAGGCATGGTGTCACATGACCACACCAACTTACAACCGCAGTTCCATAAATCCCATGCAGTTACAATGTCCCATGATTGCCCTTTCTACTTTCTGCCAGGTCCCATATTGACTTTGCTTGTGGGAAACCACAATGAAGTTCACAAATGGCAATTATATGATTGATAGTGCCACTGTGACATCATAACTGATCCAGTTACCAAGTGCCTGACTTGTGATCGCATGACTACAGAGACATTGTGACCTCCTCAGCTATCCATCATAAGTATTTTTGTTCAGTGCCATTGTAACTTTGAACATTTACATTATGAGTGGACATTAAATCAGGACAACATATATGTGATACCTAGCTCTTTGGAGAAGGGTTTAATTCTGGGAAAGATGGAAAGAAAGAGAAGGGGATAACCAGTAGCAAAATGAATGGACTCATTTAAAGCAGCAAATGCTGTACTACTGGAAGGTCTGAAGGACCGGGTTAGCAATAGGCAGGGAAAAAATTCTATCCTTATGATTGCTGAGAGTCAGTGCCAACTTGATGGTAAATAGTTAATCAGTCAATATGCTAAAATCTTCATTTACACTCTTCAAATCTTAAGATAATAGTTGCAGACTCTGTACATTGCTGGAGCTTCTGAGACATGTAATCACCAAACTGGAAGATATTAATCTACGGCTGTTAAACAAAGACAACACACCAATGTTTTCTGATATTATTTTCCAAATTACTTTATTAATCATATTTTACATGCCATCAGACCTATACCCTGAAGTGCAAGTACATGTTTCTGAGGTATTGAAATTGGAGAAAACCATGCACAAGTTTCATGTAAAAAAAAATACAGTGCTTATCAGGTAAGATATTGGATGGATATTTGGAACTCAGAATTAAGTAACATGACAGTTTTTTTAATATTAAGATATTCAAATAACCCTGACATTTTCTGTACATTCACACAGCCATACACAACATTGTTTAGAGCAGTGTGCACAGTACAGTTATATAGTTTGTTCACTGTAATGCTGAGTACAGCTCCAAATTGTTAGCATAAAATTAACACCCAAATTGCATCCTATCATGCTATGCTGTGTTCTGCATTATGTAGCCTATGACTGGCATACACTGTCAATCAATATTTTGATTTATGGTACAGATTATCTCTAACTTTCCATTCTTTGATGCCTGATATTAAAAACTAAACCATTGGATAATAAAGCAGCAAAATCCAGAAGTTTTGAGACTCTATTTCTCTAACTTTAATTGGCTGAGAATTCTTGAAATTATAGTCCTAAAACTTTTGAAAACTTCCAGGTTCGGAAAGACATGTCTAAAGTGTATCAGAGTAGTTTGAGGTGTAAAGCAAAAACAGTAATAATATTTGGCTTTGACCAGTTGTTTTCAAATTCTTTTTCCTCAGTCAGTGATCTGCTCATATTAAAAAGCCTGTTTCTCTGCATGTAAAACGTGAAAAATTAATTTACCCATGAGACAAAATCCACTTCAGATAGTTTAGAACAGTATTTTCCAAACCTCAGAACTTAAAGATATGTGGCTTTCAAGTTCTAGAATTTTCCAGCCAGTGTGCTGAGTTGAAGTCCACACATCTTAAAGTTGCCAATTTTAAAAAACACTGTTTTAGAACAAAAAAGAGTCATATAGATTAAGCAATTAAAATCAAATATTTCAGATCATAATTCAGAAATAATCTTTGGATTTATTTCTAGGATTGGTATTAGAAACAGCAATTGCTAAGAAATAGGTAGCCTGTCAGAGTGCAACAAGACTGAGAGTGACAGTACGCTAGTCTTGCTACACCAATGGCTACAAGCCACCATGTAAAATTACTCACAATGCAGCAAATTACAGTAATGCTTTGCTAGATTCTCACTGTGGGAATTTTAAATGGGAGATCCTAGTTTGTTGCTACTAGCACCAGTTGTCCATGAATGTAATCAACTTAGTTACATTCCACTAATAACTACCACTGATCCAGGAAATAGAAACAGAACACCTTCTATTTCTGTTTTGGTTGATATGACCTACATTTAGATCTGATTTTTATCAAATATGCAGAGTAGAACTGGATGATAACATACCTCAAATTTGTTTCAGCTGTAATGTTAAAGGTAAATAAAGCTGCTATCAGTCAATTTAATGAAAAAATTAGGATTATGAACTAATAGCACTATAACAAGTATTTATGTGAAAATTCATTAAACTTAGGATATTAATGTAGGGATCCATTAATTAATAAAAGTTCAAGCAGGCCATTTCATTAGTGCAATGTGCAGACTGATTTTTTTAAGCTTAATTTGCTGAACATGTGGAGGTTTGTCCAAACTGTTGTTTTATAAATGTATGCAAATCATTCCTTCACAATTTGGAAGTAAAAGAAATTTGAAACTATATGAAAGGTTTTGTAGAGCAATAAGCTGTGCTATAAACCAATTTAACAAGCTGTAACCCAAAGTTTCATACTTAACCAAAAGTACATCCTGTATACAAAAGTTTAAATTACCTTACTGTAAATCAAAATGAAAATCATAAATCTTGCAGACACTTTTGCTTTCCTTTCTTAAGTAGTAGTAAGTTTGGACAGCCTTTTCTATAGATTGTTCCATTAATAAGCAGGAAAATATTGAACCTAAGTGAAAATCTATTTTCACCATCTTAGAGATAGAATGTAGAAGGGAGAGGAAGAACACACAACTAAGTAATGTTCATCAAATAAGAAGTGAAATACCATTTTTTTTGTTCAAAATCATTCTATTAGCTATTTTATGTTTCACATTATCCTGCCCTTGGAACATCTCTAGGAGAGGAGAGGAGAGGGGAGGAGAGGGGAGGGGAGGGGAGGGGAGGGGAGGGGAGGGGAGGAGAGGAGAGGAGAGGAGAGGGGAGGGGAGGGGAGACACAGTTTCTACTGGCTTCCTGCAGTTGACTATTTAATTTAATTCTTTGTAGCTGATCATATTAAAACAGAAAAGAAGAAACCAGTTTAAAAATAGGGAAACAATTTTAAACAATTCTAAAGAAAAAAGAAACAAAGAATAAGAGAGGGATGTCCATGCCCTGTCCTGCCCTCACATATCTAAAACAATGAAGAGTTTCAATCTATATTATTGAGTTTTGAATTTGCAATATAAAGTATTTAGTTTAGGCAGGGTAGAGTCAAAATATTCATTATTCTATAACAGATGCTATGATGAAACAAAGCAAAAGTTTATCTTTACAACATTCAATCTCATTTTCCAAACTATTATAATCATAACCACTTTTTCTTTTGGGTATTCTCTAGTGTTTTGTGTTGCCCAATATGAATTCAAAATTATATGTCTATAAATATATAAAAATCAAAAATATATGCCTCTAGAGATATGAATAGAAAGTTTTGACATACAGTGTATAATCTTGTAGAAAGTAAGTACAGAAACTGTCTTTTTTGAAAAGGATAATTGAAATATGAAAGTTTCATAGCATTCTGGTTTATATAGATGTATAGATTTAGACAAGGATTTTGCTTTGTTTAACCTTTATGATTCAGTTTCTATTATCAATTATCCCATTGGCAAAACATCAAAATACCTATTATTTCACATACATGGTACATCAATGACAGAAAACAGCTACAATGTTAATTCTATTACTTTTTATTTATATAAAATCCTAACATTACTAGAAAGAATAACTGGAATCTGATAACAATAAAGTGATACCTTGGTGACACTTCAAGGCAAATACATTTTATGGCAATTGGAGAATGTTCAAATTATTTGTTCCTTCTAGTTGAAAACTGGATTTCTTAGACCACTCAAAATAAAGTTACTGCTATGCCCTTTTCTGTAGAAAAGAAGGAAGGACAGTACACAAGAAATGGTGCTGATAATTCCTAGAATTACTATTCCTGAAATCAATGCACTGGTGACTGAATTCAGCTGGAAAGAGAATCCATTTGAGCTTCCTACAAAGGAAAGAAATAGAGAAGAAAGATTTAAAATATTTCACAAGCTCTGAGAAAAATCCAGCTAAAGTTATTTGACTTCTCAATATTCATAGTTAAAGAATCAATGGGCAAAAATAACCTTATGCAGGAACAGTTATAGAGATTTCAGGTGAAAAGAGTCAGAATCAAAATAAAATACATAATTTGTGAGATGGGAAGTATATAAATTTAAAACTAAATTAAAACAAAATAAAACAAAACAAAATAAAACCAAGAAAGTGAGTTCTCGAAGTGTGTTCTCAAAGAAATTATAAACCTCATTTTCTCTCTGGAATTGGCAGACTTTATTCTCTTCCACTGATTTAGGTGAAACAGATTTTTTTTTAAAGATAATGGCGGTAAATCAGTGAAAAAGTACCCAAGCATTTCCCATTCAGCCTTGCCTTCAGCAGAATTCTGGGTTGAGCAGCAGTTCTACTTTATTGATCTCAGCTCAGTGCCTTCTTTCTTAATATTAGGGCACAGCAACATTTCCACATCATTTTTTTTCTCACCAGCTTCCATGGAATTCAGCTAGTGATATATCTAATCATGACATATTATGTCTAATCACAATAATATTAACAGAACTATGACTGGCTTTTTAAATATCATGTGCTTTTTAAAAGATGGGATCTACTAAGTTTTTAATTGGATGTTTAACATTTTCTATCATTTAAATTAGCAGAAAATGTTGCAATTTATCAGCCTATATACAAAGTATTTGACTAGTAATTAGGATAACATTCAAATATTTCTTTTAAAATTAGGGGAAATTTATTGCTATTGCTATAACTTACCAAGCTGTGAATTGTTGGTTGGGATTTCCTCTGTTTGAAATACAAAAGTAGATTCATTTTAGTTTGAAGGTATTCATTTTCTTGTGTTCAGACAAAATCATTGATATTTTAAACAGGAATGACTGATCTAACACCTCAAGTCTAAATTCACAGTTAAGAAGATATTTATCAAAACAAAAATTTATGCCAGGTTTCAAAACAGAAAACTCTATCTATAAGGTAAAAGTTATAGCCATTTTACTATTATAACATTCAAAGTACAGCACACTGTAAAATACACTGGAATGAAATAGGAAAATAAAAATGTGGGCTTTTTAGTTGCTTTATTGCCCCTACATAATTCATATGGTGATGGCTTTAGGGATGATGAGTCACTGAAATGAAGATCCAGCTATATTTATGCAGGTTCTCTGCAGGATTCTGATCTTGCATAATCTGTTTTCTGAATCTATGAGATCTATGCAGGCAGTCCCAAGTTGAGAACAGCCAATTTACAGACAACTCATGCTCTCAAACTGATGAATCTATGAAGCTGCACAATTTAAATCTATTACTCAAAGCAAAACGAAGTCCTTGCTTCTAAAAGCAAAGCTATCCATGTTGCTTTACATCTCTTGTTCCTCTAGTGCAGTGTTTCCCAAACTTGACAATTTTAAGGCATGTGGACTTCAACTCCCAGAATTCCACAGCCAGCAATTAAAATTGTCAAGTTTGGGAAACACTGCTCTAGTGGTTTTAGAGGCTTCAACTCAAGTCATGCTTGAGTCCTGCAAAAACCCTTTTCTAATTATGACAATTGTCAAACAAGTTTACATAAAGAAACTTGTTCCAGAGAAATACTTCAATCTTCTCCTTCATGAGCAGCTGTCAGTCAAAACTGCCTTACATAGACATAGTAGTCATATGAGAATTAAACAATCAAATACAAGTGTAGAATCAATTCTTGAATAAGAAACCATTCTTGAACAGGAAATTATCCACATTATATTTTAGAAATCACGTAGGATGGTTGTCCTTACCAGTTCTCGTAATTATGGGGCCAGCAGATATTACTGCACTTCCAGAAATGCTCTGAGAGATCCAAGTGGTTCGCTTCACCACATCTCTTTTTTTTCTATTACTGCAGGTCTAGAAGTTTCAATCAAAGTAATTATGATTCAGAGCAGGTAGAAACAATGTTTTTCTTTGGTGTTCCATTTTAACTTTGCATAGAAACTAAAAGCAAAACCCTCTTGCTTAAAAGAATCTTCCTTGCAACAAAACATTTGAAAACTGTTGAATATACAGTAGTTTATTCTTGATTATTTCTTAACATATTCTGAACTTCTTTTATTGTATAATGGTTATATATTGCATTGTCTTCCCTTATTGTCCTTGTGGAATCTCATCTAAGAGTTTTTCAAATTACTCCTCATTTGGTTGGTGAATAGCAGATTAAATTCTGGCTACTGAATGCTTCTTTCACTAATTCTTTACTGAAGAGTCTCCATCCAGCACACACTCCCATAAAACATAAGTAGGAAATTATTTCCATAATCTTACACTTGAATGTTCTCCTCTGTATGTTCCAGGCTTTGCTGAGCTGTTGCCAAACTCTTCAGAACACAATTACCCTCTTTATAACTTACATTCTTCTACATATTCAGAAACTCTATTTTGAAGAGTTGGTCAGCACTTCAGCAGAACATGGAAGGAAACAATGAAAACTTAAAAGATTAGAGAAATATTTGCTAGCTATGGAATGTATCATTCAAACAATATTTTTTCTCAGTTGGAATACTTACAAAATAAAAAAAATAGTTGGTCAGTGATGAACATTTGAAAATATACAATACAAAAGTAGAATCAAAAGTTTGAGATACCATATTAGCACAACATGGAATCTTTGTAATAAAAATGCAATATACCCTATTATAACAGTTGTTAATTACCTGGATTACTGAGGAAAGGATATAAAACAGAGAGGGATGAGGTTCCAACAGACCAACAATTAAGCTTAAGAAAGGGGAAAGGAAGTTCTGGCTCTGTGAAAGGAAACTCTTGATTTTTGCCCTCCAGGCAGTCCTATGATCATTTTAAGTAAAAGCACCTTTAGATAAATAAACCTAAGCTAGGTGCAAAAGAGTAGCTAAAAGTTTTAATGTGAATATCTTTTATACAAAGATAAGGAAGGGTAAAAATATTTCAAAAACTACAATATGAATCCAAATTGAAACACTATTTTATCAACAGCATGTTTGTTATTTGATTCACTATGAAGACACTCAATCCACATATAAATAGAACAATTTAATTTAAACAGAATAGCTTCAATCTGGGAAAAAAGTGGGGAAAATAATAATAGGAAGGATATTGCATACCTTTCTAAATGAATATATATTTCTTACAGCACAAGAGGAAAGAAGAGTAAGTGAAAACCATTTTCCCATCCTACTTTAGGCAACTCAAACACTCCTTGTATTCTGAACATTGCTCAGTGGTCTCTGGATGTGACTGATTATACTTAATTTTCCAGCACTTCAGGAATTTGTATAAAGCCTCTCCTCACATTAATGTTTTTATTTTAGATTCAATTTTGCTCACCATAAGGTTATTGAAAGATGAATCTCAATTTTAGGTAATCATATTATATATTGACTTTCACATCACTGTTTGATAGTTTATAATTAATAATTTCCCAAGTCCTACCTGTATGTTAAATGAATAATGTATCTGAAAGTGGAAGGAATCAGCTATGAACAACAAGGTTCACCAAAGCTAACAGAAATCAGTTTGATTAATTCATCTTAGTGTAACCACCACATTGAAGACTCATCTATCATTGAGGGTATGAATTTTATTACACACTAAGTCAACTACTTTTTAAAAAGATCATCTATTAGCATCCCCTAATGTTAAACCTTCCAGTTGCAACACTACCCAAACTCTCTGAAACATACTGGAACAAGAAAGGGGCAGTCATCCGCTCTGCACAACTTTGTCACACAGTGTAGAAAAACCGCAGACATTTTCTGGTTCTTATGTTTCACAAAGCGGAACACCTCAAAAGAAAATCGGCCCATCTGACTCTTCCCATTTTCAATTATAGTTGTCTGAGGGTCTTTGTCACAACTGAAAAGGAAATAAATGAAACTAGTAACTTTCACTGCTTGAGAAATACCTTTAAAAAAGAATAGCATTTCATCAACAATACCATATTTTAGAAATTGTTGGCATTTCTTTCTATATACCATCTGAGGATACAAGATACAGCAAGATGCAAGAACATCTGCCTCTGAGAAAAACCTGCATTGGATATTACCTAGAGTTTTCACATAAGGAAAACCGATTTCCATGACAACGTATATATTACACATTTAAATAAATGAATAACCTTTCTTTTGAACATACCCTATTTGTATTGTCTTGTTGACTATTTCAAAAGTTTAACGTCAAAGATATTGCAGATATAAATGTGCCATATGAGACTAGTTCTCTCACTACAGCAACTCATCCTTAGGCCAAATATAAACTCAGAATATGAACAAAATTAATTTGCTTCATATTTAAATATGAATTGACATAATACATATTTACAGGACTTACATGTATAGTAAATAAGAATACACTACATTTTTCACATTTCCCTACATCTTACAATCAAAATTTCCACTTAAAACTTGCATTCAAAACTACATGTATTAAATGTTTGTCCCAAAATTCTTAGATTCCTTTTTATCAGGAAAATTGTGTCAGAATCACACATGAATTTTCAATATAGTACTTCAATACCTATATAAGATTTCTTTACATCTTTATGAAGATTGTTTTTAAAAAAAAAATGGGAAAGTGTTCACTTTTCAGAAAGCAAGAAAGCTAGATTCAGTAATTTATAAAACACAGTTGTTCAATTTCTCATAGCTGTTTGGTAATTCTTGTTATCCATAAATATTTCCATGATACAGACAAATTCTTATTGAACATAAGAACAACTGTTTCAGCTCTAGTAATATATGTCAAAAATATGACCAGATTTACTGACAAATCAGAACAGACCAGTAGATAGAATGTTGGGTTTGTAAGGAAACTGTGTGCTTATCACAATGCCTATTCAACTGTCCACTTAACTCTGAAGCAAAAATAGCACTATTTATTTTCATATATAAATTTTATCTGCATGCCACATACCTGTATATGTGTGTTTTTGATTGAACATGTACATTCAGTAATATGCAAGAATAATTATAATAAACCACATCAATCTGTGCTGAACTGTTGGAAAGAATAGTGGTAATCATGCATGCAGACTGTATCAATCTGAGTCTTAAATACCATTTTAAAATGCGAAATGAAACAAATAAAGTTCCAAGAATAGTTACTGCAGAAAGTCTTTCTTCATTTCTTTCTTTTTCCTTCACTGTTTGGTGTTAAGCATTCAAATGAGTTTTATCATGGACAAAGTATTAATACCGCTTTATAATACCCTAGTGAGACCACACCTGGAATACTGCAACCAGTTTTGGTCACCATACTACAAAAAAGATGTTGAGATCTTGGAAAAAGTTCAGAGAAGAGCAACTAAGATGATCCAAGGCCTAGAGACTAAAACATACGAAGAATGGCTGCAGGACTTGGGTTTGGCTAGTCTAAAGAAAAGAAGAAATAAGGGTGACATGATAGCAATATTCCAATATTTGAGAAGTGGTCAGAAAGCCCCAAAGGGCAGGACAAGAAACAATAGTTGGAAACTGATCAAAGAGAGAAGCAACCTGTAATTAAGGAGAAAGTTCCTAACTGTGAGGACAATTAATCAGTGGAACAGCTTACCTTCAGAAATGGTGGGCGCTCCATCACTGGAGGTTTTTAAGAAGAGACTGGACAGTCACTTGTCTGAGATGGTATAGGTTCTCCTGCTTGAGCGGGGGCTGGACTAGAAGACCTCCAAGGTTCCTTCCAGCTCTATTCTATTCTATTCTATTCTATTTAATGGGGTGTATTGGGGTGTATGGGGTGTTCAGGGAGGGGTAGTACCTCTGGTGTAGAGCATGTTGTGCCTTTTAGGGCAGCTCGTACACATTTGGTCCCCACCTGACATTCAGCTCTCACCTGTGGCTCCTAGTAGCTGTAACATGTGCAGCGGCCACACCCCGGGCAACAGCTTCGACAGGCTGGCCAAACCAGGCTGAGAGTAGCCGTTATGTCTTTGACACTCGGTGAGCAAGGGATTTGTCTATCCCGAGCATGTGAAGACAGACTCTGGTGGAGTGAGCAGATGAGATCTATTAAAATAGAACCAACAGTCATGAAGGCAGTTTCTGCAAGCGACGTGGTATGCTGAGAGCACGGCAAGACATGAAAGATGCCCTGGTCAACCACTGCACCCAGCCCATCTCCAGTTGTTTCAACTTTTGTCCTGCCATTGAAATAAGATGGAAGCTGGGAAGAGAGAGTGAGGCTGATTATGCGCACCTCTCCCTCACTTAAATCCAATCCACGCGCAAGTCTTGACATCTTGACTTTCCCTAACTCTGATAAATCTCAAAGTCCTGTGGCGATAGGCGAGTGAAGAAGCAGCAGGTGTGGAATCACTGGGAGCTGTGGACGCAGACCTGCACACAGGCGGCTCAGGTCTAATGGTCACTTCTTGCTGATGAAGCAACAGCTGGATTCGGCATCTATCTGAGCGACTGAGCAGCCCTCTTTAGGATCACACTGCTCACCTCCGTAGTATGAGGAAGGGGCTAGAAAATGTGCCCTAAACATTGTTGCTTCTTTCAAACCCTGTCCAGCCTACCGCAGTTAGAGGGGATCCAATCTCATGTGGTCGAAATATAAAATTTAAGACGAAACACAAGGTGTTACCACTTATTATTGGTACATGGAATGTACGTACACTTCAAGACAATCCATTAGCAGATCGCCCAGAAAGAAGAACAGTTCTGGTAGCCAGAGAGCTTGCAAGATTTAACATTGACATTGCGGCCCTGGGTGAAACTCGTCTAGCCAATGAAGGTCAGCTCACAGAAACAGGAGGCGGCTACACTTTCTTTTGGTGTGGACGTAGCAGTGACCAACGTCATGAGTCTGGAGTTGGCTTAGCAGTTAAGAACCATCTTGTTCGCCAACTTGCCAGTCTTCCTAAGGGTGTGAATGATCGACTCATGACACTACATCTCCCATTACTAAGTGGAAAACAAGCCACACTGATCAGTGCCTACGCACCCACAATGACAAATCCAGATGAAGTAAAGGACAAGTTTTATGAAGATCTTGATGCCCTACTTTCATCTGTGAAGCACATCGATAGGCTGATTTTACTTGGTGATTTCAATGCAAGAGTGGGGTCCGATCACTCTACCTGGGATAGCGTTATTGGTAAAAATGGAATTGGCACGTGTAATAGCAATGGCCTGTTGCTATTGAAGACATGTGCTGCTCATGATCTGGTCACTACTAATACCATCTTTCGCCTACCCGCTCATAAAAAGACGTCCTGGATGCATCCACGCTCCAGACACTGGCATCTCATTGATTATGTCATTCTGCGGAGGAAAGACATGCAAGATGTAAGAGTAACTAAGGCTATGCCGAGTGCTGACTGCTGGACTGACCATAGACTCATCATTTCCAAGTTAAATATTCACATCAAGCCAAAGAATCGTCCACAGGGAAACAGAGTTGTGATGAAAAAGATCAACGTCAGTACACTGGAAAACCCTGACGTAGTAGCTTCATTAGTAAAAGATCTCGACAATCAATTCCTGGAGCTGCAAATACAGGAAAATGCTGAGAAGGACTGTGAATGTTTCCGGAACATCTTATACTCTTCTGCACTTAAGGTTCTTGGACCCTCATATAAGAAGCAGCAGGACTGGTTTGATGAAAATGATGAAGAGATTAAGGCATTGCTTGCCAAAAAAACACCATCTCTACCGCGCTCATCAGAATGACCCGTCGTCAACTGCAAAGAAAAATGCTTTTATAAACATTCGCAGGATTGTACAGAGCAAGCTCCGCAAGATGCAGGACTCCTGGCTGAGTTCCAAAGCAGATGAAATCCAGAAGTTTGCTGATAGAAACGATGCCAAACAATTCTATGAAGCCCTTAGATCCCTGTATGGACCTCAGCCCTTAGGAAGCTCTCCTTTACTGGATTCGAGTGGTGCAACTCTTATCACTGAGAAGACTCTGATTTTACAGCATTGGGCCGAGCATTTCCATTCTGTGCTGAACCGCCCATCCACCATCAATAATGAGGCGATTGACAGGATACCCCAGGTAGATATCAACTATAGCCTGGATGCCCTACCATCAGAGGCTGAAACCTCACAGGCCATCAGTCAATGTTCCAGTGGTAAGGCGCAAGGATCTGACGCAATCCCAGTGGAAGTCTATAAGGCTGGAGGTGCTGTGCTTGTTGAAAAACTTATCCAGTTGTTTCGATCTTTCTGGAAACAAGGTTCCATTCCTCAAGAACTGAAAGACGCGTCCATCGTGCACCTCTACAAGAGGAAAGGAAATCGACAAGTCTGCGATAATTATAGAGGAATATCACTTCTCTCTGTTGCAGGCAAGATCTTTGCACAAGTGTTGCTAAATCGCCTGATTGACCATCTGGAACAGGGTATACTATCTGAGACACAGTGTGGTTTCCGCAAAGAGCGTGGCACAGTGGACATGATATTTGCAGCTCGACAGCTCCAGGAGAATTGTCAGGAGCAGAATCGTGAACTTTGTGGATCTCACCAAGGCTTTTGACACAGTTAGTCGTGAAGGACTATGGCACATTATGTCGAAGTTTGGGTGCCCTGACAGGTTTATTCTGATGGTACGACAGTTCCATGATGGCATGGCGGCTCGTGTTCTGAGTAACAGTGGAGCCTCAGAGGCCTTCCCTGTTACTAATGGCATTAAGCAAGGCTGCGTGCTGGCACCAACCCTGTTCAGCATGATGTTCTCAGCCATGCTGTCAGACACCTTTCAGAACAGCTCAGTGGGAGTTAATCTGAGGTACAGAACCGATGGGAAACTGTTCAACCTGTGAAGACTTCAGGCTGTCACCAAGGTAAAGGAGACTGTGCTACGAGATCTCCTCTTTGCTGATGACTGTGCCCTTAATGCAGGATCAGAGCAGGAAATGCAAGCCAGCATGGACAAATTCGCAGCCGCTTGTGACAACTTTGGCCTCTTCATCAACACAAAGAAAACTGAAGTGATGTACCAGCCAGCTCCAAAAGCCCAATATCAAGAGCCTACCATCACAGTAAAGGGACAAAAGCTGCAAGCAGTGGACCATTTTACGTATCTTGGTAGTACCCTCTCCCGTGCAGTGACAATTGACATCGAGGTCAACTGTAGAATTGCCAAGGCAAGTTCTGCATTTGGCAGATTGCGGACTAACATGTGGGACTGCCGTGGAACAAGTCTTGCTACCAAGCTTAAAGTTTACCAGGCGGCAGTGCTAACTACCCTACTGTATGCTAGTGAGACCTGGACAGTATACAGGAGGCATGTTAGGCAACTGAACTACTTCCACATGACCTGCCTTCGTAGAATTCTGAGGATCCGGTGGCAGGATAAGATACCGGACACAGATGTCCTCTCCAGAGCAGGCCTATCATCAGTTTACACTCTGTTGATGAAAGCCCAGATGCGCTGGGCAGGCCATGTTGTAAGGATGCCAGATCATCGCATCCCTAAACAGCTCTTCTATGGTGAGCTGTCTCAAGGAAAGCAATCGCACGGGGGACAAAAGAAGTGATACAAAGAGACGTTGAAAGCTTCTCTTAAGTCCCTGGATATTAACACCATCTCTTGGGAACTTCTGGCGCATGATTGACCGACATAGCGCACCTTGGTGTACCAGGGTTGCCAGACATATGAACACAGAAGGACAATCTTGGCACAAGAAAAGCGAGCACTCCGCAAAGCCAGAGCTGCAAATGCTGAAGTAACAGTGTCTACATTTCTTTGTTCAGTATGTGGCAGAACATTCCGTGCCAACATCGGTCTTATTAGCCACCTATGGACACATCGTTGATGGCCCATAACCCACAAGATGTCAAGGTCTTCATCAAAAATCGATGGACGAACAACATTTAATGCTAAGCATTTAACATCTGTATAAATAGTAGATGAGACACTCAATCATGCAGCAATTACAGGGAATGCTATGATTGGCCAACCTGGACCTATCACACGGTCCAGGAGTCGAGCACAGGCGTTAACTTACATATAAATGTTCACGCCCATTGATTTGTGTACGCCCTGATGAAGTTGGCAGGAGCCAACGAAAGCTAGGTTGCTAATCTTTTAAAACTTTTAATGTTTTTATTTAAAACTTCTGTTTTATATTAAAACTTTTAATGTTTTAACTTTTCCTGGTGATCATATTTTATTCTCACCATGTATACACCTACACCCAGGAATCATGCTTCTATTTTTAATATCATATATATATATATATATATATATATATATATATATATATATATGTGTGTGTGTGTGTGTGTGTGTGTGTGTGTGTGTGTGTGTGTGTGTGTGTTTTCTGAGGTTTTCGCGGGTATTTGTATGTAGGTCTTTGGTTGTTTGGGTTTTCTCCCACGTAAAATAGGAAGTGTCTTGGCAACGTTTCGACGAAGTCCCATTCGTCATCTTCAGGCTGGTGCTTTCAGCTTCGTGCTTTGAGCAGCTCACCAGCCTGAAGATGACGAATGGGACTTCGTCGAAACGTCGCCACTATTTTACGTGCCCAAACAACCAAAGACATATATATATATATTATATATATATATATATATATATATATATATATGGTTGCTAACAAAGAATAAAGAGAGAACTGGTATAGCTATTTCGAGTTCCATTAACTCTCTTCAGCCAGACTTACTCTTCTGAGATTCGAACCTGGGCTTATCTGCATGTTAGGCAGTTGTTATAACCTCTAAGCCACAGGTTCTCTCCCACTCTGTTAGCTATCAGGAGAGAGACAGGGGGAGGAGATTTTTACCTTGAATGTACACCCTGTCAACCCAAATATGGTAAAAATCTCCTCCCCCTGTCTCTCTCCTGATAGCTAACAGAGTGGGAGAGAACCTGTGGCTTAGAGGTTATAACAACTGCCTAACATACAGATAAGCCCAGGTTCGAATCTCAGAAGAGTAAGTCTGGCTGAAGAGAGTTAATGGAACTCGAAATAGCTATACCAGTTCTCTCTTTATTCTTTGTTAGCAACCTAAAAATGTAAAATGATGTCGCAGTTGGCGACTGCTGCTTGTGGATGGCTCTAGATTGAGCTGATACAGGCAAAAGAAAAAGAAAAAGAAAGAAGATTTCTTTCTCCCATATTTGGGTTGACAGGGTGTACATTCAAGGTAAAAATCTCCTCCCCCTGTCTCTCTCCTGATAGCTAACAGAGTGGGAGAGAACCTGTGGCTTAGAGGTTATAACAACTGCCTAACATGCAGATAAGCCCAGGTTCGAATCTCAGAAGAGTAAGTCTGGCTGAAGAGAGTTAATGGAACTCGAAATAGCTATACCAGTTCTCTCTTTATTCTTTGTTAGCAACCATATATATATATATATATATATATATATATATATATATATATATATATATATATATGTGTGTGTGTGTGTGTGTTGAGTGTGACTTGTATCCACCTATAATATTATTCTCCATAAATTTTTACTTTGAATTCAATGCAAATTGGAATCCGTCAATTGAGAATATTTGCTTAGTATATATTTATTGATGAAGGCAAATAGAATAGCTTAGACTTAGCAGATAGCCATTATTTACATGCATATTTCTGCACTGATTCCAATGATTCAATTCCTTTAGTCTATATGCATTACATATTACTTTAACTGACATTTTAATGCTGTAAATAATTATTAAATGGAATTAATATTTTATTTAAGCAATTAAAACTTTTGAGTTTACTTTTAAAACAATCCATATATTTTGTATAATCCATCACAACCATGTAAAATATAAACATGCTGTTTAAAAATGTCTACCTAAAGAAGAGATCATATCGCAAATTGTCATTTGGATTTCCAGATGGAGTAGTGTAGCAGTAATCCATCAAAACATTCCATCTGCCAAAGAAAAAGAACTAACAGTTAAAACACTATTTCTAATTCATTAAACTCTTTCGTGTATATACTGTGTTTTAGTAACTGTACAACGTATGTACCTTTTTTGGGTAAACCCTTATAAATGGATTTGCACAACATGTTAAATTGGGTAGGGGTTTTTTTATTTTGATTTATTGTTTGTTTGGTTAGCTTATGGTTCTATGTATTGTAAAAATTAGTAATCATGTTAAGTATTCATGTTCAAATATCTAATGAGCTGTCACAAAGAAGAAGGGATCAAGCTGTTTTCCAAAGCAACTGAAGACAGGACAAGAAGCAATGGATGGAAACTAAATAAGGAGAGAAACAATTTAAAAAGGAGAAAAATTCCTGACAGTGAGAACAATTAATCATGGAACAGCTTGCCTCCAGAAGTTGTGGGTGTTCCATCACTGTAGGTTTTTAAGAACCATTTGTCTAAAATGGTATAGGCTTCCTACTTGAGTAGGGGGTTGGACTAGAAGATCTCTAAGGTCCTTTCCAACTCTGTTATTCTGTTTTAAGTTAATGCTTCCACTGACATTGGCTGCCTTCTGAACAATTTTTTTTAAAAAAAATAACTCATCCTAGAAATGGCAGGTATCAAATAGCAGTATTATGCTAGAAATTACTACCTACTATTAAGATAGGAGACTCCTAACTGCTGAAAGATTAATAGATATGTGCACCACACAATTCTACATTTTAGCCATACAACGTGTATTTTTATCCCCTAAAAATTGAGGTAGATTCTGCGTTTGAATATAGAAGAAAATAACTGAATGAGCACCTGCAGATTGTCTGGATTCATAAATCCTACTTACAGTAGTGGCCAAAATTGTGGAAACCTTTTGGGGAAAGTGTACAGTAGAAATGCCATCTTTAGTTAAGTTTCCACCAATTTTTCTTCTAATTTCTTTATAACTGTAGCCTTGCTTACTTAATAACACTATTTTACATCGCTTTCTGGCCTACTAGTCGACTCTTTGCACCTTTACTTTAATTTTATTACATTTTACAAGCTCACTAAATGAAAGAACACAAAAAACCCGAACCAACCTGATAGCGATCACATAACACACTGACAAATGTCCTCCTCTCAGCTTCAATACTTGACATCAATAACTGAATCCTACTGTGATATGATTGGCTCATTGCCAAAACAAGATGACACCTGATTGGCTCTCTAAACACTCATGCTCATTGGCTACAATCAGATGAAGGAAAGCTACCTGATATCAACCTAAGGAAGTTGTGCTTCCTTTTTCTGGTTATTTGGCTATAACTTTTCATAGAATACAGTACAGATAATTGACCAAACTTTGTTGCATTACATTCTTGATTAAATTATCTTTCCATTGATATATACTTTTATGGTACTACTCCAAAAAAAAAAGTGGTGGTGTTAGCCATCAAACCTCAAAAATACACTTTTCCCAAAAGATTTCCACAATTTTGGCCACTACTGTAGTTATAACATGGGTCTGAATTTGATATGATGTGAATTGAGTAGCCATAGTTTAAAATAATGTAAACTATGAACCAATTAAAGTGTGACTAAGTACAGATTTTTGACAAGCTGAAAGAAAATCTCAGTTCTGAATATCATACTGTATGTCATATGTCTAAACTGTGTGCTCAAGTTCTTTATACATTTGCAGTAATTAAAGCTGTCAATTCTTATTTAAAGAATTGGACAGCATATAATGGAAAAAATATTTTTGTCCAATATCCTGATATGTTATCCATGATAAATTAGAGTTAGTGATACTGGATGAGCTAAACCATTGATCTGCTTTTATTCAAACACTATTCAACTAAAGGTTAGATTTCTTTGTTGCTTGTTTTGAAGAGTTCATGGGAGTTGTCTTTTGTTCAGTTGGGTTTTGTAGCTTAGCATGTTGGATGAACCTAGCCCATCTAATTATTTATTTAATTCAATCCAGGACCAATAATAAAAGCAAAGTACAACAAATATGGTAAATAAAATAAAATAAAACATTTGGTTCATTAACAGCAATGCTGAATGAACTTAGAAAACAAGCTAGCCAATAATCAGGCTGGTCAAGCACAATTTGTGAACTCAACCAGTGTGAACGTCATAGGTTCACAAGTCATTATAGCACAAGGAGCTTGGACGGAGATGTGTTAGGAGTATTAAATGCAAAGCCAACTGATCCTTATAAATGGCAGTACCTTCCATCTAAGTTTGTTGCTCTTACAGCTGCAAAAACTTTTGTTTTCAAAGGTAGTCCTGTATTAGGTATAATCAGCTGTTGGCTGTAGGTAGAGTCCTACAAGAAAATAGTAAATGCAAATATTGTAGCAATATCATAACACAGAAGTCACAATGAAATTACAGAAATGTAAAATGTAGTCTGCTTGGAGCATAGCAACTCTAATAGAAATGAAATACGATAATTCATAGTTCTCTGCAAGGCAAGGAACTTTTAGTGCACACTACTTTTAAATATCAGTGGAAACCCTAGGAATTTCTCTCCTCCTAGGAAAGGAAAATAGCATTGAACAAAATGTAATTTATAATTTGTTTATACAGTTTCCCTCAAAATTGCTCCCCCAGTACTTTTTTATCCACTTAAAAGCAAACATAATCACTAACCAAATGACTGTAAAGGGACTATTGAGAAAAATACTAAGAGAAGACTAGACTGATTTTCCACTTCTTTCTTAAAACAGTAGTTGCTGTAGATATTTTTCAGAGGAACAGTTGTAGCCCAGGTTCATGTGTCCATGTTTGCAATAAAAATTTAATCTGGGCCTCACGTAAAACAGAAATCCATGATGATTTTTCTCGTTTGTTGCAATCATTTAAAAATAAATGGAACTTGTGCAAACAAATAGCTTTTGGCTTTCACTGATTTACATTGTGTATTGTGCTCCACATAAAACTGGAACAGTGCACTGACATAATTCAATATGACCAAATGCACTTGCATGAATGCTCTTAATGTTGTAGTTTATAGGGAGCATATGTCAGGATTTTTAGAGATAAGATCTTCAGAAAATTTTGTGGCAAGTATAAATGATACCAGACAGTATGTAAATGAACTAAATCAAATATTAACCAAGATAAGTGAATGGTTAAAAAGTGTCACATTGAATTTATATATCAAACTATAAAATACATTAACATACAAATAATCTGTCTCTTCAATTTAGCAATGTTTTTTTAAAAAAATATTATCTAGAGTTCTCCTTAATACCAAAATGATATTGAGACAGTAGGAACAGTTTTATAATCCCTACTTTTTGCTAATATACAAACCAATTTATGTTGAAATTATTGTACTAAACTCATTGGCATTCAAGACAAAACAAATTTAGATTTTTACATCTTATTAACTACATATTTAATACTTGGTTTTGATAATTTGAAATGTTATACTAGAAGACAAATTGAATTCTAGATGTTGAATTGAAATTTGAAATAAGATTAGGTAGCAACTCATTTTTTAAAAAATAAATAAGCAAATAAATTACACTTAAAATGCAGCTTTATACTTGACCTTAAACAAAACAAAGTATTGAATTTACTAGGATATTTCCAGATAAGTGTGCATAAAACTGCAACTTGATAAATATTTGTTCTATTATATCGAGCTATCCAAATTTTGCAAAACATCTCTATGACCTTTATTTTGGTGTAATAATTTGTAGGAGTCCTTAACTAATAGATTTGAAGTTACCCCATTTTGATTCAAATTAAAGATTGCTTAGTTAGATAGTCTCTCTAGCATCCTTTGAATATATGAACAAATACTTAAACTGATTACTTTGATTCACAGTTTGAAAGGTCTTCTCATATTTATCCCATCATGGAATTTTAAACAAATGTACAGGACTCTGAATTAATTTCTTTTGCAAGGATGCTTGTATTACATACATTACAATTCTTTCATAAAGTTGTATTTATCCTCTAGATACTAGCTTTAGTTACTAGCTGGAATAATGAATTTCAAAATAATTGTGCCTCAATTTAAGAGTTATATCTGATCCCACTTAAACCCTAAGTACAATGTACCCTGTATTGGATAGTGTTTCGGTGGGATCATTGAATATGTCAAGATATACTATATATGGAAAATACTGGGAGACAGATATAATTTTGACACATTTCCCATGAAATGCTTATATTATAGCAACATCACAGATAAAAATAGCATCAAATCTGTCTACTGTGAGTGAAATTAGTAAGATTACTAATATATCTTTGGTCTGACCATTGCTTGTTACAGAGACATTTTTGACAATATTCTGAATATTGCGTCTCTATCAAAATTAAAGTGGATTTTTAGGGTTAGGGCTTGGATTTGCTCCTGCAATACAGGAAGGAAAGGTGTCTGCCAGGCTTGCCATAATGGATTGCTGAAAGCTGATAGTTTTCACAGAGTTTTCTTCCAGCAAAAGGATAAAAGAAGAGGAATATGATAAAAAAAAATATGGTTACAGCATAATTTACCAGAGGGTCATCAGTTTTTCTTTTCTTCCTTGTTAGGTATTATTGCAATGATTAACTTTACAGTTTTAGCATTTCATGAATTCTATTGCACGAGGGTATGTTTTAGTTTAATTAGTTTAAAATTCATAAAAATAAAAATTCCTATAAATGCCTAAAAAATCAGTAGGTTGCAAGTTTTAATATCCAATTAAATGGTGAAAACATCTGTTAAAAATCTGGAGTTCCTGCTTTGAATGAAATCCTTCTATCTTAGTCAAGCATCAAAACCAGGTAACTTTACAACTGCAAAATTACAAGGTTATATAGGAATGCTGTGCTGATAAAAAGAAATGTATGTACCTGAGAAGAGTAGCAGCCTGTAGAGCACTTAAATTATCACTTGGATTTAATTACCTATCATTTTACTAAGCCACATTTTTATGACATTGATATAAAAGATATAGATCAAATTATATTTTAAGTTATGTGCCTTGTTCTTCAGCTTGTTCTTCTAAATTCTGGCATGAATTCAAATTGTTGACTGTCCGTTCTTTTTGACTCGGGGGGGGGGGGGGGCATTACTGTTATCTCCTTGTAATGATGCTTCTTCCAAATCTGTTTTATTTCCTATGTTCCCTTTTATATTTTTTTATTAAATTGTTATGTCTGGAAATGTCAAAGTATATTTACAGTAGCATTTGCATTTATTAAGTGATACTGTTGTCAAAAAAAGTAGGGATAATGAAGGGAATATGCCAATAGCTTTTTGTTTTATTAATCGCAGAATGCACGCTTGCTTAGTAGTATTTAAGTCACTCAGAGGCAGTAGTGGATAATTACAGTAAACCTTAATTCATTAAGCAAACACAGCACAGCACTAAAGTATATTACATTTTAATATATGGAAATTAGTATATTTCATATTCATGCTTAATTAATTATGCTCCTCATAGAGTAATATCTTGACCCTAACACAACCATTTCTCAAAAGTATCCCTTGTTCACCAAGTAATCCTAATAAATCAAATAGTAGAGTTATACATATGTATGAATTCATTAGGAGCACCAACACCGCACAAGGAATTAATCCAGTGCTGCAACCCTCTACTTAAGCAGAATGTCAATTTTGTTTTGCAAATATAATTCTCAAACTGAATGTCAAGTATCAGCTTTGACAAATTTCAGGTACATTTAACATACTATCAGCATTTATTTCTTTTAAAAGAAAGAGAAGCCATTCTACCAAATATGGATCTTCACTTCTAACCTTACAATGTGGAAAAAGGAATATTTACAAGAAATTATAACCATGATTTTGCAGTGCAATGCACTGTATAAGGCAATATAATGATCTTTACTTTCCTTACAAACATTTCATTCCAATATGTGAAAGTTGAGGACAGAAGAGTGCTCCAAAGTGCTACACATTCTTTTTCAGAATGCCTCACATAGATTATTGCTTAAGGAGCTACATTATAATTACTACACCTCTGATCATGAGTCAATTTGGGATAATGAATACACAAACACCACCTGGGCAAATTGGTGTGAATCTACTCTGTTCCAGTATGTGTCCACCCAAAGATCATATCACAATCTATTTATCAGGAACATCACAAAGATGACAACACAGGGGATTGTGCTGAAAAGGGAATAACTTTTGTGATTTCTATAAAAGACTTGCTGCAGAAAGCAAATGAGTAGAGAATGGATATTGGAGTCAGCAAACAATGCATCTGCCCTGAGCCTTGCAATAAGACAGCTATTAGTAACCCTCCTTCTCCCATTCACTACGACTTTGGGAGTGGAGAAATCTGACAGGTGAACAGAGACTTTTATTTTACTGTTTCCTTAACAAAGAGTTTCTTGTCACCCAAATTTCTAGCACTAAATGGTTCCATAATGGGCTTATCTGAGCTAGCATTTCTGCTGCAATCCTATAACCATTATTTCCAAAGCACTCATGAATGGGCAGACTAATTTCTTATCAACATCCTTTCATTTTATTTAAAATCTGTCAACTATCTGTTTAAAATTTGGCACACCTCTTTCCTACCATATGGACCACTTTCAATTTTTTTTATCTCAGAATAATGTTACAAGCCCTTTATTAGCACTATCTAATTTTAAAGGTTCAAAATGCATATACAATTTTTGTCAAATTTGATACACTTTTGACAAAATAAAGGTTAATTTATTTTGAAGCTTTAAATTCATTATATTTAAAACAAAAGAACCTCTGTTCTTTTATGTTTTTCTCATGCTAGACTATGAGAGAATGTAACCCAATATATAAATAAATGAAGATAGATTATAAAAAAATCCAAAAGAAATTATACAAATTCTGAATAGCAATCCCCTAGACCTATGTAACCCATTTCCTAATTCTTTGATATCATGCCTAAACTATAAACAAAAATGTGCCATTCAGAATGAACATAGCCTTTATATTTTTAAAGTAGTGTACATGGCTTAACAGTGCTGTTGTTCTTTTCATACCCGAAGTAAGTGACTGTGTTAATTCTCGAGTTATCCAGCTGAAAAAACATGGTTTTCTAATGTTTGGGGTATGAGTCAACTGGAAAGATAAATTGATATATGGTAACTCACCAATTACATGCTGTAAAACAATTTTGTTAAATTCTTTGTTTTTAAGGAAAAAACTGATTATAGTTAGAACAATATCTAACAGATGTTACCATCTTAGAGGTTAGCAGCTCATCTGCTCTACAAGGAGGGGGTGGAATCCAAGATGAATAATTTGTATACCTCTTTGCATCAAAAAGCTATTCACCAATAAAGCTTCCAAAATGTTTTATCACAAGAAGCAAAGCTAGTTAAACATTAGATTTAGCCTACTTTTATTACTTTTATAAATAACTCAAGGTAGTGGATATACATAATACTGTTTTCTCCTCCTATTTTCTCCACAACAAAAACTCTGTGAGTTGGGTTGGATTGAGAAAGAGTAATTAATCCAAAGTTACCTAGGCAGTTTTCATGCCTATGGTGAGACTAAGACTTACAGGTGTCTGATTTCTAGAATAGCATTTAACTACTATACGAAACTGGTTCTCATTTACAAGATCAGTGTATAAAACTTACTGCAATAGCATTTTGAGCATAAAAATGAATACAGAATACAAATTGGCAAAAAGTACTGGCTATGACTAGTTCTAAGAGAAGATCATCATGAGTTTTAATGAAACTAATTTATTTCAATTTTTTCAGGACAATATAATATTCCTTCTTCTCAAAATTTTAAGAAATTTGCTCCTTTCTCTCTGATTGTGTTAACATACATTATTTTAAGAGTGGAAGTAATAGTTTTAATACAATCGATTTTAATCTAGTCTGTAGAACAGCATATCACTAGAAAGCAAAACAAGACATTTGTTTAACTACAGTTACTATTATTCTCTATCATACTTATAGCTCATTCATTATACTCCAAATCTAAAGAACAGACCTTTAAATCAACTGCATGAATTATATTCTAGGTCCATGATGAGAAGAATAATAATCTTGAAAATTTAATTGTAATTTAGTAAAATACCAGCTGAGAGATAGAAAGATGATTTTTTAAAAAAATTATATATTTGAATGAATAAAGAAAAATTCTAATCAACACAAAATAAGATTTGGAGGATTAGCATTGGCCTTATAAGTAAAAATCAGTTAAATTCTTCACATTTCCCACTCAATGACCCTATTTATTCAATACAATTTTTTTTAATTACATATATTCAAATTTAATTATCATGCTAAAAATAGAAAGCATTGTCTGCCATCAAGAACAATGTAAAATATTAGCTGTCTCAATAGAATAGAATTAACATTGATTTATATTAGGGGTAGATTTTTTGGGGGGAATACTCTCACTATTGAGAGTTAAAGTTCTGAAATGACACAAGTTGCTTCCCCAAATTTAAAAAAACTGTAATTATATTTGCTGTATCAATACTTATGACTATATATATTTTTAAATCAGGTCATTAGTCTAAGCATGGTTAGGATAACAGGGAAAGTGCCTTCTTTTACAATGGAAGTGTGATTTGTGAAGCAGCTTCTGAAAACCTTGTGGAACCTCCACCCAGGCTGAATAACTGAATAAGTTGAACTACTGTTGCCCAGTGCAGATGGTCCAATCTTAGTGCAGATTAATCAGAATTCCACTGTAAACTGAAAACAAAATTGGAATTATTATTACTGTTGTTTATCTTTATCACCATCATTATCCAGATTATAATCCTTACCTATATGTTCAATATGTTTCATTTTATCCATGTCACTGTTTTGTCATCTTGTTTCTTTTAAGTTAAAATTTGAACAAAACGTAAGAGACACAATACTATGGTTCCATATTATAATTATAATTAACACCAATAATAATAATCATTTTGTTTATACACTGACAAAAGATTTGGGTCAAGAATTCATAGTTCAAAATTTCCTTCTGAAGAAAAGGAAATTGGATAGCATGATTTTGGATGCATACTTGGTTTGAAAATATAATCAAAGGTTTTTATATCAAATTGGATCAAGCTGAATGCCAGAAAGTACAATCCTAGACTCTTTGCTGGTCCAAAAATGTATTAATGACTTGGAAAAAGTTATGGAGAAAATGTTTATCAATCTTTCCAAATTTGATGACATAGCTAATATACAAGATGACAGAAATAAAAATCAAAATAATCTTGCTTGAGATATGTTTGAGATATTATTCTACACAGAACAAAATTTAACAGAGGTTCAAAACAGGTCACTTATCAGATAAAACTCAGATGTTCCTGTATAGGATAACACTTGGTTGATAGCAGTACTTGTGCAAAAGATCATGGGATATTCATTGGTTATAAACTGAATATGAGCAGTGCGACACATAGCTATCAAAGAGACAGAAACAATTTTATCAAGTTTCATTTCCAAATCATGGTAGTTAGTGAGTTTCATTTTATTCTAATTTGATCAAAGTGAAATTCTAGCTACTGTACCTTTAAAGGTTAGTTTCATTTAAAAGAGCCAAAAGGAATGATTAAATACTAGAAACTAATTGTATGAAAAAAAGGTTAAAGGTGATTCAACCAGTTTTATTTTGGAAAAAGAAGAATAATATGATAGCACTTTTTAATTCTGAAAAGAGAGGGTGAACACCTACTCTCTGCAGAATCCAGAGCCAAGAGTCACAACAGAAAGAGGAGTCAGCTCCTAGGAAGAAAGGAGCCAGGATTGCCCAGAACAGCCGCACATCGAGGTTTCCCACGAGGACCTCACCAGTCAGTGTTCTCTTGCAGGTTTTAGAGCTGAGCAAACTGAGAAAAAGTCATCTTGTCTAAATCAAGGTTTGGCATCTTCAGATGTACACTGGGTTTTCATATTTCCTCTCTTAACTACCTTAGGAAATTGCTTGTTAATGGCTTTTGGATGTTAAAGACTTTCAGAAGATTTCATTAAACCAGATACATTTCCCTTTATCGCTGATGAAAGAAGTTTCATGCAAGTTTAAGGACTTTAATTTTTTTAAAATAAACAGCAAAAAGATGTCTAGAACATTTGTATAACAGAACAAATATGTTTAGAACATTTATTTCTACTTACATTGTAAAGGAGCAGATTCAAAGTGCTTATAAATGTACCATTGTTCTCTCTTACAGAAATTGCAGCTGATGACCTATGAATAAATTAGAAAGCAAGGCTATTTAATATGCCACACATTCAATGCTTTTTCTTATTTAAAAAAGGCATATAAGCTAATTTTTTTATTTATCAAATTTTGCAACTGCTCATCTTCCTCACAGAAGGAACAATGAATGCATGAAGCAAACAGTTAGGAAATGAAGACAAAATAGTCATCCAGTAATTTATAGGATAGCATTTATTTCTGAGCCGTGCATTAAAATTTTGTTGTGTAAAAATTAATCATATCTAAAATAAATCAGTTCAACAACTGTTTTGTTCAGTTATGTGCAGCGAAGCATCTAAATATCTGCTTTCTGGTTAATAAATATTTTGGAAGCAAATTTTATTGTGAAACAACAGACGTAGTTCAAATCAAACAGTAAACTAAATCCTGGGAATCATGTTCTTTTAATACTGTTTTTCTCCATTTTTTCCCCCTTCTCTAAATTCTCATGAGTGATGACAATTTTATATATGCAAAGGGAAAATGTTAACATTTGTCTTATGCTGGGAATGTAATATGCTTATAGAACACAACCAATTCCACTTCTCTAAAATCTGAGCGGTTTCATAATAAAAATTGAGCAATCATAGTAACTTTCAATTTATAAAACAGTAGTCATTTTTTAAATATCAGTCTAATATTCATACTTACGAAGCAAGTTGTGTATTGTTGACTAGGTATTCCAAAGGATAGCTACAGCTAAATTTATACAGAAGTCCTGGTAAATAGCTGATAATTGTTGGTGGATCTGGGGTATCTATATATCCTGAAATATTACCTATTTGGACTGTGGATGCATTGCCATATACATTGATACCTGCAACTGAGGTTACCTATTAGGATAAAGCAAGAAAGTTGAAATTACAGAGATGCAAAGCTTATAGTAGAGAAAAATCTATAAAATAATATAGATAGGAATTTAGTGCTTAAAACATCTTTATGGCCTTATCTGAATGACTGACTCAACAGTGCATTCCATTTTGGGTTGACTTACCCAACCAACCCTATTGCTTTTCTTTGCAATCATGAGGGGAAAAAACGAAGCTACAGGTAAACACTTTGGCAAACAGGCAAAATGTTATGATTTGATGAAGAATTTTGGTCCTATCATAAAGTCTGTTGAGTATTTGTGAAATTCCACTTTAAAATGTTGGGATATATTTGGCCCTTTTGTAGAAGGTAAGCAACCTCACAAATATTTGAATAAAATAGCTGGTAATTCCTTCTTTTAATCAACAGCCCAAATGAGGCAATCATCCTTTATTTTTATCTCTTCAGAGGTGCCTGTTGGAATTGTAATACATTCTGACATTGTTACTGTGGTTTTAAAGTTCAAATCTGACAGAACTGCTAAGCAATCAAACTGGCAATGTTTGTATTTAGAGGAAGAGGGAAAAAACTGAAAATAATATGGCCGTGTTGCAAGCCAATATCATTTGCAAATTCATACAATTGGTCCAACTCACAACATTTAAGAATATTTCAGGTAAGTCTAGCCTGAATTAAAATCCTCTCCATTCTGTAAGAATTATTTTTGCCACCTACTCTACCCCATCCATACTATACCAACTGAAATAGTAGAAAGAGACTTTATCACTGCCAGTCAATTCTATCACAGTCATTCTCTACCACTATAGGTGTTTAACCTATTTCCGAAAGTACAATAGATAAATTCTGTATGTTTGGATTAATATTGAGTTTAATATTGATTATTATGATGATTTCTTTATCTATGGCTAAAGCACCTCTTATTTTACCAGCTTTAAGAAAAAGACATGTCAAGCAAAGTCTATGTATACTTAATTCTTAACAACAGCTGTGACTGATGCTGAATCATACAACTAGTAATGTACTCAACTTTTTCCTGCAGCATTTTTGTGTAAAAAAAATCTTCTCTGAAGTTGAGAATTGTCCTCACAAGAATATTTTTATTTTGAAAAACAGTTTAGAGTGATGTCAAGCCTTTCCTGGGGTTATGGAGGAAGGAGATAAGGAAAAGAAATTTCTATAAGCCCTCCTATAAATTAGTGGCAACCAAGTAGAACATAGGGTTTACCAAAATACATTTTAATTATATACAAAACATCCTGGATATTACTTTTCTATTTTTTTATCTTAACTTTCTATAATTAGACTTGCTTTTAATCTTGAATCTCTCTCTGTAGTGGTCATGGCCCTACCCAAACAGTAAATTTTTCACCTCTTTTGTTTCTCCTGATTAATGTCTAACACTTTTGTTGGTTGCAATCTATGAAAGCTTAACTCTGAGACATTTATTATTTTAAACTCTCTTCTCTCCCCTTTCCTAAATTAAGGTTGATTGCTATCCAATCATTTATCTCTTCCTGCTGATGCAGTACTAATCTTCTTTCTTAGCATTCACTATTCTTCCAATGGTATCTGTCAGAATTATCTGGGTAAATGCAAGAATCTCTTTTCCACTGACTTCTTGCATCAGTTAGCTCTACTGCATTTCTAATGACAATTTCTGCATTCATTTCTTATCTACATACTTCTAATAACAAAAGCAATCACTGTGAATGCCCTCTTACACTTCCAAATGATGTTGAGTAGTATATTATTAGGCAGTACAGAAGAAATATATCATAATAGGGCAGGGATAAATATATAGATTTTTATTACATACAGGTAAAAGCTTCATTGCAATGATCTTACATGTCCTAATGAAAAGGGGAGGGAGGGAGGGATGGGGAAAGAAAGAAAGAAAGAAAGAAAGAAAGAAAGAGAGAGAGAGAGAGAGAGAGAGAGAGAGAGAGAGAGAGAGAGAGAGAGAGAGAGAAAGAAAGAAAGAAAGAAAGAAAGAAAGAAAGAAAGAAAGAAAGAAAGAAAGAAAGAAAGAAAGAAAGAATCTTCTTGGAAGACTCTAAACATTTAAATCTAAACATCATAGATCTTACTTATCTGCTCCTTATTATGGAATTGAGAATATTAATTGCACAGAAAATTTCTTCCTTACTAGCAAACTAGAAGTGTCAGAATCTAAATGTAATATAGAAATCAAATATAAACTGTATATTAAAATGGTATATGGTGACAGAGCGATTAATAGATGACATTTTCCATTTCTGCCCTCCAATAAGAGTTGCTTATTATTACTGTTTTGTTTCATAAATTGAAATTGGCGATATCATGATTGCATTCCATAATATTAGAACCAAGGGCACAAAGGAATAAACACTTCTTTGAAATGAATTGGGAAATCTATCACCAATCAGAACAATATTATTCTTTAAATTAAAAGCATTCATATTTGTATGTCATGCCCTCATTTCACACAATTTTAGGTGCCTAACAACACCTAACAATTGTATGTAGCTTCTGAAGATTCTTGTCTTACCATTAAAGAACTTCCACAGGATTCCAGAGTGCTGAGATTGATTATGAAAATTACCACTGCTGGAAATGTGTTGTTGTTTATAAATCCCCTGCAGTGAGAGTCCCCGTGTTTCCCATTTAGTGCTAAATCAGTTTCAGAGTAACCAGAAAACAGGACAGTGCAAAAATTAATCTTCATAGTAATTGCCTGAACTCCACAGTAGACGTTGATATCTTGTTCTGCTACAATAAAAAAGGAACTATTCAGATTATGTTGTTATATTTTTGAATGTTAAATTAAAGAAATAAGCCTAATTTCAAATCAATTTTAAAACAGACAATATAAGAAGCAAACTAAAAATAATAGCAATAATAACAAATGGAGCTCTCTTACCAATGAATTCCATAAGATGGTGCCATACCTGAGAATGCTACACTCTGCATCTTAATAACATGACTTTAATGTGACTTCATGTACTTCCCTGAAGGGTGGAAATAAGCAGATCCTTCTCTTCATTCCACATTTAGTTAGTTTTCTCTCAGCATACATAGAAAACAAGCCCCAAATATCTCTAAAAGTTTCAGTAAAGCACTATATTGGTATCATTTATATTTTGCAGATAATTCTCCATTAAATAGCCATGCTAAATAGCAATCATTTAATGCAATCAGAGGCAAATATAAGTTAGCAATAAATAATTAGAACAAAATAACAGATTTCAGTTTTAATCAGCACCAAAACATGGAGTTTTATATACAGACAAATGATCTGAAAGCAATAATTGATGAAACACCCTTACAACAAATAGTCAGATGATTAATGATTCACAATACTAGTTTATTTATTTTTGGCAAATAGCAGTTATAAAAAAATTGCAGGTTATAATTTTAATCAATACAATCAAGGAAGCTGAGATAGCAGAAAGTTTTCTAATAACATTTTAGCACAATAACAAATGTATCTTCTATATTATAAAACATTAGATGACTTAGATGAGGGAATAGAAGGGGAACTTATCAAATTTGCAGATGACACTAAGCTAGCAGGAATAGCCACCACCCCAGAAAACAAGTTCAGGATCCAAAAAGATTTTAATAGACTTGAACAATGGACCCTATCCAACATGAAGTTTAATGTGGAGAAAAGCAAGATTTTACATCAGGGGTCTTCAAACTTGGCCCTTTTATGACTTGTGGACTTCAATTCCCAGAATTCCTCAGCCAGGCACGCTGGCTAAGGAATTCTGGGAGTTGAAGTCCACAAGTCATAAAAAGGCCAAGTTTGAAGACCCCTGTTTTACATTTAGGAACGAAAAACCAAAGGTACAAGTAGAAATTAGGCGAAACTTGGTTCAAAAACAGAAGGACCTTGCAATCCTACTGGATGATCATTTAAATATGACCTAGCAGTGTGCGGTGACCTATACAAAAATAGCTAATATAATCCTTGTTTGCTTAAACAGAGGTATAGAATCAAAATAATGTGAAATATTAATACTGCTTTATAAATATCCTTAGTAAGACCACACCTGGAATATTGCATCCAGTTTTGGTCACCACATTACAAAAAAGACTTTGGAAAAAGTGCAGAGAAGAGAAACTAGGACAGTGGTTCTCAACCTTTTTAATGCCGCAACACCCAACCGGTCGTAAGTCGAGGACTACTCAACCGGTCGTAAGTTGAGGACTACTCAACTGGTGTAGCACCATTTGCAGAATGGGACTTTTGGTGGGCTCAGCAGGGCAGAGACAGCCTGGACAATTCCTATTGGCTTTTGAAAGCCAATAGAATTAGACTCTATTCAAGAGAGTCTATTCTATTGGCTTTCAAAAGACAATAGAATAAAAGGGAACAGCACAGCTAAGGAAAGGGGGGAAAAATGGCAGACTCCGTTGTTTGGCAACCCCCGTGAAATGGTCGTTCGACCCCAAATGGGGTCCCGACCCATAGGTTGAGAACCACTGAACTAGGATGATTAAAGGCCTGGAGACTAAAACATATGAAAAATGGCTCCATGAACTGAGTATGGCTAGTCTAGACAAAAGAAGGACTAGGGGCAACATGATGGCAGTATTCTAGTCACAAAGACAAGGGGGTCAACTTATTTTCCAAAGCACTAAAAGGCAAGATAAGAAGCAATGGATGGAAACTAATCAAGGAGAGAAGCAACCTGGAATTAAGGAGAAACTTCCTAACAGTGAGGACAATTAATCAGTGAAACAGCTTCATCACTGGAGGTTTTTAAGAAGAGACTGGGCAGTGACCTATCTAAAATGGTATAGGGTCTCCTGCTTGAGCAGGGGGTTGGACTAGAAGATCTCAAGGCCCCTTCCAGTTCTATTCTGATTGATTGATTATAAAATCTAATCAAAATAAATGAGTGCCATCAACTTACAGTAACATACATACATATTGCAACTCCATATTGTATCCTTTATCATAGCTGTATTTGTTTAGGACACCAATTTAGTAGTGAGCATACAGGCACATATGCATATGCATACATATGCAAGCAGTTTCTATATACTAGATTGTGTATAATGTCCAGAATTCAAAACCTTTCAAGCCTGAAATAGTTGCTCCATATTTTGAACAGATTTGTGTAGCTTTTATGGAAGTGTTTGAATTTGAAATATGGCCATTTATAGATAGAATAGCTGTAATGTTCTGTGTGAAAATTTTGCACAACCTTACTACATACTGTACATTGCCGGCAATGGAGAAAAAGCTCCAATACATCACACGATGTCACATGATGTCACGAGTTTGACATGTCTGCTCTAAATCATCCAAACAAGGACCTACATTATGTTGACCCAAGGGAGCAAATGTCCTAACTCAACTTAAAAAATAAAATATTGTTTACATATATTTTTTTGCTTGCTTTTCTGGATCACCAGTCTATGGTATGGCACTAAGGGAACATCACGACCCCATGGACAACGTTCCTCCAGGCCTTCCTGTCCTCTACCATCTTCTGGAGTCCATTTAAGCTCACACCTACTACTTCAGTGACTCCATCTCTGTCATCCCCTTCTTCTATTGCCCTCAATCTTTCCCAGCATCAGGCTCTTCTCCAGTGAGTCCTTCCTTCTCATTAGGTGGCCAAAGTACTAAAGAGCAGTCAGGGTTGATCTCCTCTAGGACGGACCAGTTTGATCATCTTGTAGTCCAGGGGACTTGCAGGAGTCTTCTCCAGCACATAGTTCATTATTGATATAACTATTCAGTGATATATGTAGGAAACACACTTACTTGTGTTCCAGTCCAACCATAAGGCCATTAGTCCAGTTCTTCTCAAAGACAGCCCTTAGAGCCCATAAAGAATACCCACAATCCTTATATTTATAAATATTACACTATTACACTATTTTCCAAATGCAATAATTATCGGTTTCTATAAAAAATGCCACATTTTCTGCAGCTCTGCATCTGCAGAATTAAAAATATATCTACATAGATGCACTACTTCTTTTTGAAATTTTCTGTAAAATGTCTAAACTGACTTGTTTTTGGAATGTAATATAATGCAGATTTTTGCAGGGTACTTTTATAATCTCTTTTCTTTCCATGAATAGGTCACATGCCATTAAAATTATCAACTACTGCTTGTTCATACATGCAAGGAAAACTGCTATTTTATGTTCAGGCTCTTGTTCCCTTTTTGTCCATCAAAATCTTTTTTTGTCTGCCAGTGAGTTTCATTTTCTCCTGCTTTTATTCTGTCTCATTCAGAATAAAAAACTTGTGCTGTATTGTGCTATTATTCCTGCCAAATGGGTTAGGGTTAGCATTATCAATCAATGGTTGACAGTTACCTCTATGCATTTATGTATCTAATTGTAATAACAAGGATATTAAACCAATCAATTTTCATCCATAGTGGAGAAAAAAAATGAACATGAGATTTTAGCACTAGCAGAAGGTAAAAAAGTAAAAGATCCTTTGTTTAGCAAAGTCCAAACTTTTTTCCAGGATTCAGCAGGATTCTGTTTGTTGCCTTTTCATCTTCTTTTTTGTATTTCACTCTTGTTACAATTCACTTTTTTCTGTGACTGAAATAACTCTTCTATTGTTGTTGATTTCATTACTAAGTGTTAATAGCTTACTATTCCCTCTGTGGTAAGGTTAACTGCTGTTTTGCAAAATCTGTTTCAGCTGGTTGTCTTGTATTTAAGGGAATACTTAAAGGGTGACTAGTATCAACAAGTTAGTGGAACAATTCAATTACTGGTAAAGATCTATGTATTCCATCGATGGTTTGAAACCAAATATAAAGGATAAATCATGTTTCCCAGTCTTGGTGAGGAATGCAGTCTCTTTGTAATCTGCCCCCTTAGCCTAAATAACTTTTAAAGGAGACCTGCTCACAGAAGTGAGCCTGACCAGAGAGAGAAGCATAGAAGCCAACAATCGTGAGTAACTGCAGAATCTGACAGATATATAAGAATGACAAAGCAAGAACCATAAAGTCACAGTGTCTCCTTACACATGTACATATGTCACAACACACATATGAAAGGGACAGAGATTGCATCTTGCCATTTGCCCACAGTCTATTGCTCCTGCAGACACACAACAAATCAGCATTATATGTCTTATCTTCAAAATATATAACACTGACACTGTTGGTAAAATAGTTTTTCAGTGAAATCTCTTCACTTATCTCTTCACTTTGTATACTGCAAGTCTTAGAGGCTGAAAGTCTCCATCTTGATTTCTTTTTCTTCTATCCTACAATATTCAATAAACTAGAATTTTTAATCCAGTATTGTTTCCTAAGTTCTCCTTACATGATTCTCCTTCTAGTCTGGGATTTATTGGAGCATTGTACTGTTTGTCCTTTGGTATCTCATGCTGTGCTGTCAGATGGCCCCACACAGCAGCTTCATGGAATGTTAATCAAGAGCTTAGAAAGTACAAAAACCTGTGGAACACCATAAAGCAAGTACTGAGGATGAAACCCTTCTTCCACAATCAACAGTAACAGGAATCCACCACAGGAGAAGAAGCAGAACCAACACAGTACCACAGAATCTCTAACTCCAAAGTCAATCCAAAAGGAAACAATGACTGATGGCATCAAAAGCTACTGAGAGGTCAAAAGCAAGGATGGACAAAATGGCCCTATCTTGCTCCCACTAGACATTGATCAAAAGAGCAACCAATATTGTTAAGTTTACCCAGTCCTGGATCTTGACTGAAAGATAAACAGATAATCTGCTTCTTTCTGGATTTCGGG